GGCATCTACATCTGCAGAACGTGAAGAACCAGTGGCATCTACATCTGCAGAACGTGAAGAACCAGTGGCATCTACATCTGCAGAACGTGAAGAACCAGTGGCATCTACATCTGCAGAACGTGAAGAACCAGTGGCATCTACATCTGCAGAACGTGAAGAACCAGTGGCATCTACATCTGCAGAACGTGAAGAACCAGTGGCATCTACATCTGCAGAACGTGAAGAACCAGTGGCATCTACATCTGCAGAACGTGAAGAACCAGTGGCATCTACATCTGTAGAACGTGAAGAACCAGTGGCATCTACATCTGCAGAACGTGAAGAACCAGTGGCATCTACATCTACAGAACGTGAAGAACCAGTGGCATCTACATCTGTAGAACGTGAAGAACCAGTGGCATCTCATCTACAGAACGTGAAGAACCAGTGGCATCTACATCTCAGAACGTGAAGAACCAGTGGCATCTACATCTGAGAACGTGAAGAACCAGTGGCATCTACATCTGCAGAACGTGAAGAACCAGTGGCATCTACATCTGCAGAACGTGAAGAACCAGTGGCATCTACATCTGCAGAACGTGAAGAACCAGTGGCATCTACATCTGCAGAACGTGAAGAACCAGTGGCATCTACATCTGCAGAACGTGAAGAACCAGTGGCATCTACATGCAGAACGTGAAGAACCAGTGGCATCTACATCTGCAGAACGTGAAGAACCAGTGGCATCTACTGCAGAACGTGAAGAACCAGTGGCATCTACATCTACAGACGTGAAGAACCAGTGGCATCTACATCTGCAGAACGTGAAGAACCAGTGGCATCTACATCTGCAGAACGTGAAGAACCAGTGGCATCTACATCTACAGAACGTGAAGAACCAGTGGCATCTACATCTGCAGAACGTGAAGAACCAGTGGCATCTACATCTGCAGAACGTGAAGAACCAGTGGCATCTACATCTGCAGAACGTGAAGAACCAGTGGCATCTACATCTGCAGAACGTGAAGAACCAGTGGCATCTACATCTGCAGAACGTGAAGAACCAGTGGCATCTACATCTGCAGAACGTGAAGAACCAGTGGCATCTACATCTGCAGAACGTGAAGAACCAGTGGCATCTACATCTGCAGAACGTGAAGAACCAGTGGCATCTACATCTGCAGAACGTGAAGAACCAGTGGCATCTACATCTACAGAACGTGAAGAACCAGTGGCATCTACATCTGCAGAACGTGAAGAACCAGTGGCATCTACATCTGCAGAACGTGAAGAACCAGTGGCATCTACATCTGCAGGAACGTGAACGAACCAGTGGCATCTAATCTGTGCAGAACGTGAATTAACTAGTGGCAATCACATCTGCAGAACGTGAAGGAACCAGTGGCATCTACATCTGCAGAACGTTGAAGAACCCGTGGCATTCTCCATCTACAGAACGCTGGAAGAACCAGTGGCATCTACATCTGCAGAACGTGAAGAACTCAGTGGGCATCTACATCTGCAGACCGTTGAAGATACCGTGGCATCTCCTCATACAGAACGTGAAGAAACCAGTGGCCATCTACATCTGCAGAATCCGTGAAGAACCAGTGGCATCTACATCTGCAGAACGTGAAGAACCAGTGGCATCTACATCTACAGAACGTGAAGAACCAGTGGCCATCTACATCTGCAGAACGTGAAGAACCAGTGGCATCTAATCGCAGACGTGAAGAACAGTGGCATCTACATCTGCCAGAACGTTGAAGAAACCAGTGGATCTACATCTGCAGAACGTGAAGAACCAGTGGCATCTACATCTGCAGAACGTGAAGAACCAGTGGCATCTACATCTGCAGAACATCTGCAAACGTGAAGAACCAGTGGCATCTACATCTGCAGAACGTGAAGAACCAGTGGCATCTACAATCTGCAGACGTGAAGAACCAGGGCATCTACATCTGCAGGAACGTGAAGAACCAGTGGCATCTACATCTGCAGAACGTGAAGAACCAGTGGCATCTACATCTGCAGAACATGAAGAACCAGTGGCATCTACATCTGCAGAACGTGAAGAACCAGTGGCATCTACATCTGCAGAACGTGAAGAACCAGTGGCCTCTACATCTGCAGAACGTGAAGAACCAGTGGCATCTACATCTGCAGAACGTGAAGAACCAGTGGCATCTACATCTGCAGAACGTGAAGAACCAGTGGGCATCTACATCTGTAGAACATGAAGAACCAGTGGCATCTACATCTGCAGAACGTGAAGAACCAGTGGCATCTACATCTGCAGAACATGAAGAACCAGTGGCATCTACATCGGCAGAACGTGAAGAACCAGTGGCATCTACATCTGCAGAACGTGAAGAACCAGTGGCATCTACATCTGCAGAACATGAAGAACCAGTGGCATCTACATCTGCAGAACGTGAAGAAGCAGTGGCATCTACATCTGCAGAACATGAAGAACCAGTGGCATCTACATCTGCAGAACGTGAAGAACCAGTGGCATCTACATCTGCAGAACGTGAAGAACCAGTGGCATCTACATCTGCAGAACATGAAGAACCAGTGGCATCTACATCTGCAGAACGTGAAGAACCAGTGGCATCTACATCTGCAGAACATGAAGAACCAGTGGCATCTACATCTGCAGAACGTGAAGAACCAGTGGCATCTACATCTGCAGAACGTGAAGAACCAGTGGCATCTACATCTGCAGAACAGGGGAGGAGACGAGAGGAGGAGGAGAGACAGAGAAGGGCGGGCGGCGAAGAGAAAGGAAGACAGCGCGCGAGTCTGTGACGTGGGTCGCTCTACGCGCAGCAAACGCACGGAGAGACACGGAGAGACACGAGAGACACAGAATGGCCTTGAGGGTTTTATTTGTATTCTTGGTCCTTTCGGTAAAGTCACGTAGAAGGGAAATAATAAAATAAGAAAAATAAAACACAATAAAATAATTTTCACGACGTTTCGGCCACAACGCAAGCAGCCGTCCTCAGGTGAAAACCAGGTCTGTCGGGGAGACAGCGTCTGAATGAAACAGCACACGGGCTTGGAGCATGTATATAAGCTGGGCGCCTTGACAAAAGAATTTGCTTATCAAGAGGAATTTAGCATATTTATGGGAAATGCAGGTATGTGATTAGTACTAATTATGCCCGTGCATTATGCAGGATTAGCATTCAGACGCTGTCTCCCCTACGTGGTGACTTTACCGAAAAACCTAAGAGTATGAATCCTTGCAGTCGCGAAAGCTTCGAATCTAAAACAAAAACCTTGTTGGCCGAGGCGACGGCGTCGTTGCGTGCGACGCCGACAGGCTTTGCCCGAGGCAAGGCCGGAGAAACTGCCAGACCTCAGTTTGACACGAAACTCCACAGCGACACGGCAAGTCCCCGCGCCGTCATCTTGCGGAACGTGGCACCGTTTGGCTCGTAAACAAGTATAACCCGTAAAAAGAAAGTTTTTCGCTACAAATCCTTTGTGTGTGGCATCGGGGCGGCTAGAGTCCTCTCGTCCTCTGGCTTGAGACGGCTGCCACCTATGGGTCAGATGATTGTCTTGGCAGCATTAAACAATTGGTAATTAAATATTTAAAAAATTTAGGAATTTTGAGTAAGAGTTTCATTTTTATCACATTGGTATTTTAAATGAAATATGAAATGTTTTTTTTCCTAAACAGTGTAAAATTTTGGAATTTTTTTTTCTCACGAAAATGCATTGTCACGCACAACGAGTCTGTGTAGCAAAATGTCAGCTCGATTGGATCACGGGAAGTGGGTTAGAAAACGACCGAAAGATTTGCACGGTCGCAAGCAAGCAAGCGAACTTAATATAAAGGATTTTAAAGAAACCGGCTCGCTGACAAACCGACAGACCTCTGGAAGACGAACTCGCTCGTGAGTAGAGCGAGTCCCTGCGACAAGCCGATTCGTGACTCGCGAAGGCAGGAAACCCCCGCTCGCCGTGCCCCGCCCACCCCAGCAAGCAACGCCCCCCTCGTCGAGCTCGCGATCGCCGCGAGGTCAAAATGCGCAAAAAAAACATAAAAAAGCAAAAAACGGCGGATTTTAAAGATTTGATTCTCTAATCCGAACCCCCGACAACTGAACAAACCTTTTTTGCCCGACTCGCTCGCTCGCTCACCCCGCCGCCGATTCCACCGTCAGCCGATCGCGCGTCGGGGTGGAGGGCGGGGCGAGAGAGGCACGTGCGGCACATGCGCTACCGGAGCTACGCGTTTAAACATTTTAAATCGTGATCGCACATCTATCTGGAACCACCACCACCCACCCCACCGCTACCCACTCTCTCTCTCTCTCTCCGGAGTACCATTTACCGTAGATTTGAAGCTTTCGTGACTGCAAGGGTTCATATTCTTAGGTTTTTTCGGTAAAGTCACCATGTAGGTAAAACATCAAAATTAATAAAAAAAAAATAAAAATAAAAAAAAAATCACGGTCCCACCTGATGACGGAGACTTGTGTTGCCTCCGAAACGTCGTGATTTTTGTTTTATTTTATTTATTTTTTTATTAATTTTGATGTTTTACCTACACGGTGACTTTACCGAAAAAACCTAAGAATACCATTTACCGATTCGCGCCAATAACATTTATTGCACTAGGGGGTGGCGGGGGGTGGCGGGGAGGGAGCGTTACATTTGCTACGATGAAAAGCATCGTAAAAAAATAAGTGTATACGTACAACTATTCTCTAATACAATCGAGCCTCAAGGGATCAGACGGCCCCCTGCCGACCAATCGCGGTCTCTCGCTCGCCCCCCCCTCCGCCCCCCTCCACCAAGGGGCCGCTGCTACACGAGACGGGGCGTCTGGCGCGAGAAAGCAACGAGCGCAACTCTATTCTGCCTTCGCATATAAAAACAAACTTTGCCTAACGCCTACGCGTCTTCTTTCACGCGCCAATTTTACTAAAGTTCAGCTCACGCGAGAACTAAGCGTTTGTTAAACACGTGGCGGCGGCGGGTGGCGGCGGTGACGACGACGCAGGCGGTAATCTCCAGCGACACGTCGTACGTGTAATATTGTCGGAGTTTGTGCTCGCGACGTCAACATTCCGGTTTTTTGCCGACAGACCAACTGAAATGGCGTGCGCGCGTGTGCGTGGAGTTTTTTCCGCACCGCACGTAGTCGGCCGTGCTGATCGGAGGTGCGTTGGAAGGACAACAAAACCAAACACAAGAATCACTTCTAGAGAAATTGGTTCTCAATCGTGACCTTACCGAACGAACCAAAGAGTACGGATCCTTGCAGTCACGAAAACTTCAAGCTCCAGTTGGCTTCCTAATATCGGGCGCACGAGACGGGGAAGTGGCGATGGGGGCGATGTCGACGGAACCGCGGCGGATTCGCCCCGAGGCCCGAGCCCCGTCGTCGCCGCCGCTGCCGCCGCTGCCTTGCGAGCGGCGCTCTCACACGCCGCTCTACTCCATCACGCGGCCGTCCGCTCGCTCGTAGGGCGGCCTGCCCGGGGGGGCGCCCCTCGGCCCGCCGGGGCCCGTCGGCCCGCCCGGGGCCGGGCGTCGCAGAGCCGCCAGGAGGCCGTCGGAGGGCGTCGCCGCAGAGCCGATGGAGGTGCGGGTGCTGGGCGGGTCGTGGGTCGCGGGCGGGAGGCTCGTCGACGCGGGGAGGCAGT